GAGCTGTTTTCCAATGCTTATACTCGTTCTTTTCTATAATGGGTCTCTCCCTCTTCTCACATCTTGGAGTTTCTCAACTTGATATAGAGACTTAAATCTCAAATCCCAATATACACATCAGTCAGTGAGATTCACCTCATGGAAACCATTCCCTTGGGATATCTCTCCTATCTAGATTCCATGTTTGCCATGCACATTATGTTCCTTCATTGCCATTCATGTAGTTTCTCATCCCTTCTCTTCTCCGTCCTTGGTCACTCCGATTCTTGACATTTCTAGTGGCACTCTCTATTACAAATATATGAGCAAACTTAGAGAGAGAGAGAGACTCTTTTCATGAATTCTCTCCCCTCTTCGTTATTCCATTAAATTGCCTAAAATTCATTAACTTTATATATATTTCCCACCCATCTCCCATTTTAATCTCCTCCACCCTCTTTCTCCCTTCTTCTCTTTGTCTTTCCCTTTTTCTTATCATCTTTAACCCCCTTCGCCTCCTCTATTGATAGTCGACGTAGTCGCATATCGTTGGACTCACACTAGTCTGGTGAGTTTCCCAAATATCTTATTCCCTTTCGATCTCTCACACTCTCTCAATTGATCTTTTCCCCTTAGTTGGGGATCTCTACTTGTCCATTTCAAGCTAATGGCAATTTTTATTCGACTCGGGTCTTTCCTCACAATGATTTGACAAAGCTGACAACAACATCCAACACTTAGTTTGAGCAAAGCTCATACACATAGAATTGTCCTCCTCTCTAATCCCTTGGCTGCAATTGTTGATAATCCTTATTTAAAAAAGGAAATCAGGAACCACACAATACTTGGGTTTCCTTGTTGCAGTACTCGTTCCTAGGCCAAAATCTCGAAATCTTACAAGTAAACTCAACTCTCATTTCTCCTATGTTTCCTTTTGTTTTAGGAACCAAGATATGATAACCTAAAAAGTTTATATGATAAAAAATTTTAGGAACCAAGGTAAACCATCCGTGGAAGCAAGGTTTTAAAAACCAATCCGGAAATGAAACTATTCTAGCCATTGGTTTCCAGGTCAGTGGTTCGACCATCTAGGTCAAATGGCTCGAACGATTTAAATATTATAAATGGTGATATGTCATCTTACCCATTAGATTGGAATATTAGGGTAAGATGCATATAAATAAAAGAGAAAAAGGGTTTGACTGTCTGAGAATGAGAGAGATGTGAGAAGTTGTCAATGGCTGAGAGAGTTTAGAAGAAGAAGAAGAGGAAGAAGGAGGAGGAGGAGGAGGAGGTCAACTGCAGCGGCGATGACGACGGCAACTTATAGCGGCAATAGTGACGACGATGGCAAACTACAGTGGCAGCGATGAAAGTAGATCTGATATTTCTCTTAGTCTCATATCTCTCTCTCAAATCTGTCAACCAGACTCTTAGCCTTCTCTACCAGATCTCTCTCACTATCTCACACATCCAGTAGATCTCAGATCCGAGATCTCCCTCAACTGATCTCTCTCTCTCTCTCTAGTAGATCTCAGATCTGAGATCCGAGAGATTTCTCTTTTCATTCTTGAATCTTGCTCTTATTTAATAAACCACAAATCGTTCTCCGAGTTGAATGGTTCATTGGCCAAACCATTTGGGTCAGTGGTTCGTTGACTAATTCAACGGTTTTTTACCAAAGACCGGGTTTGGGGTAAAACGGAACCAATCGCCTGGACGGTTTCCAGTCCAAATGGTCCGACCATTCGGGTCAATGACGGTTCAAAAACATTGCGTGGAAGTGCTGAAAATGTGCAAGAGATCCCAATATATTCCTGAAACCAATGAGAGTAGGTGGATGGAGTGCCTTATTTTCAATTATTGTTGCTAGGATGGAAATTTGAAGTGAAAGGGAAACTTCATGTTTTTTGTTTTGAAACGAGTCTATTGTTTTGAAAATTTAAAAATTTAATAGGGAAAAAATAGACTTTTTAATGATTCCATTGAATGTAATTAAGACAAGGGAGGTATTAGTCCATTTTAAATAGTGTGGGAAGGTTTCAATATTTAGGAAAAATTTGAAGGGAAGGTTTCAATATTTTAATATTAAATTAACCTAATGATTGTTTTTGGATTGAAGATGCCCCATTAATTAATATGGGATGGTGAATCATGAATGTTAAAAACTAGGGGTGCAAGGTGGGCAGGTTGGGCCGGGTTTATGGTCAACCCAGGCCCAGCCCTAAAATCTGTGCTAAAGGCCCAAGCCCAGCCCAAGCCGGGTTGGTCAATGAACACACACTCTAAAATTATACATATATAAATGTATTTATGTAAATATATATACATATATTTATGTATGTATGTAAATATGTATGTAAAATATGTATACAAATGTTATATATACAAATATGTATATATATATAGGTAAATATGTATGCAAAATTTAGATATATATATATATACACACACATATATATGTATAAATGTATATAATTGGACCAGGCTCAGGGCCGGCTTTGGGCTACCTAAGGGCTAAACCCGAGCCTAGCCCAAAAAATAAAAAGCCTGACTTTTTGGGCCGAAATCCAGTCCAAAGACTGAAAATCCAAGCCTAACCCATATAAAATTTCAGGTTGGATCAGTTTAGGCTTGGGTTGAGCCCGCCCAAGTTGTACCCCTATTAAAAACCAAATTCGTTGGAGGTATATATGATGCACATGTCATTGAAAACAAACATCAAACGCATGTTATAAATAAAATTCATTGAGGACAAACATAAAATATTCTTGTTACAACTCAAATTCACTGAATACATACATCTTTCGCCTTTGTTACAACACCAATCCAATCAATAACCACTACAAACACTTATTGTGTAGGGTCTAAGCTTTGGGATTCGAAATTAGGTTCAGCGTATAGGGTGGGTCTTCTGGGCAGGCGTGGCTAGCTAGTGCGCTGGGCGAGGAAGGGGTGGCTTGGCAGGCGCTTGTAGGCTGGACGTAGCGTGTTCTTGTGTGTGCGTCTGATTGGGTTAATGTACCTAAACTCCAGTTTTTTCAACACATTTCACGCATGGCTGCGACTATGACATTTTCTAGAAATAATAAAGAAATAAAAAATCATTTTCACACAAATTCATATAAATATGTGAAAATTTTCAAAAAACAATACATGTTAATACTTGGTTTAACATCCTAATGCAGCGAACAACAGATTTTTCTTTTTGCTTGACAAAACTTCAAACAGTTGTAGTCGTGGATTGGATGCCGGCGACCGAAATTTGTTCATGGCTACCTTTTCTCAGTAAGGGGAGGTTTGTGTCCACATAATACACAATCAAATAAAAAAGAGTATAATTAGAATTTTTAAAAATCTAATCCTCACATGGTAACAGACATGAATGAAAAAATAACTTATGGAAGGATTTTATCCGCTGACAGACATTATGTTTAAGAGAATGTCTAAGTGTAATTGAAAAACGGAGAGAAAGTACAAGTGGTGAAAAATCAGGAAAGGTTAAAGTCTTTTATCTTAAATATAATAAAACGGCAAGATAACAAAACACCATCTATTTCGTGGCATTTACTATGAATTTGTCATGTTGTCGCCATTTTTACTCAGCCCAGCATTCACTCGCTAGTCGCTAGATTCAGAGACAATAATGGTTCCGAAAATCTTGGCTTTTAAGACCGAAATATGTCCTCATCTTGTCCAAAAGCTTGGAGGTGCAAGCGAGAGGCAAAAAGTTGTCGAATCAAATCCCATTCCAATATCTCAAGTATTTCTGGCCCACTCCCTTCTCCACGACTCTTCTTTCCCATCCACGAAAGCCAAATCGTGCTTCCACCCCTCTAATCCTTACGTGGGTCCCACCCACCTCTCAATAGTCCATGGTCCACCCCTTCTCCGTTTTTACTTCTCCCATCGCCACCACTCACCAGCCACCGTCCATCGGTTCATTATAAATGGATCAGGTCCAATCCAATTCAATGAATATTTTGGATCATTTTGAATCGATCTAATTTAATGTTCAAATTTATTTTAATTTAGATTGGTTTTAATTCAAATCTGGTCCATTTTTAATTTAGGTTGGTTTTAATCCAAATCTGGTCCATTGACATATATATATATATATATATATATATATATATATATATATATATATATTCTTATCTTATGTCAATAGATCAGATATTAGCTTAATCCCATCTAGTCCAATATAAATTTAAGGAGTACAGATAGGCCTATTACAGAATTCCGAATTCCATTGCAGATCTATAAACATTCAAAATGTCAAATACCCACTCTTGATACACCAATGGATTGACATCAATTACGAATAGACCAGATCTAATCCAATCTAATAAATATTTTGGCCCAAATTGATCCAATCCAATATATCTTATTTGGTCCATTCAATCCGTCCAAAATCACTGGACGGGGTCCAATCCAAAACCTGCCTGTTACTTCCATCTGCCATCGATAAATAATAACGGATTTGATCATACCCGAATGAAATCGAATATACCCGCTGGATTTTATTAGATCCGTGTCCGATCCATTTCATAAGGTCGAGCAATTAATTAGACTTGAGACATGCTTGTTGGACACCGGACAGATAATGGAATGACAGTGGTATAAGCTAAAATACGCCTATGATGCAATTCACTTGTTGATTCTCACAATTGAGTCGCACCAGTCCCACATTCCCAGGCTCCCCCCACTTCTCTCGTTTCTTAAAGTCAAAAGCTCGCCAACGGCGTAAGATAGCGGATATTTGGGGGTGTATGGTTGGCCCTAACTAGGGTTAGTTTACCGCTAGATTTAGCTGAGGTTCCGAAAATTTAACTCAACCTCTCCCCCTTCCCCCTTATTTCGCCCTACGAAGAGCAGAGTTTGAGCATAAAAAACTAATCTCCGGCGACGGAGATGATCCCTTGTCTCGGATTTTTAATCTTCCGATCTGTCAAAAGAGAAAGCGGAGGGAAATATACGCATCGTTGACTGAAATTAGAATCTTTCTCGTCCCACCCACCATGAATGCCGTGAGGAATGATATATCGCGGCCACTCACCATGACTAGCCTTTCAGCGAAACAAGAGTCGAATAACAAGATACCGCCAGCGAGAACGTCTTATCCGGCGGTTGAAGCTCAGCCGCTGCATTCCTTTCCTCTTTCGAGCAACAGCAACAAAGTGCTTGGAAACGGTCATACAGCAGACGAAGACAAGAAGAGGGAGAAAGAGCATAAGAGGAGATCGAAGAACTGGACGCGAATTGAGACGATGAAGCTGATAAGGTTTAGATCGGAGATGCAGCCAAGGTTCTTAAGAGGTGGCAGGAAATCGGAGCTTTGGGACGAGATTTCGGAGGGTCTTAGAAGTGAGGGTATTTGCAGAGACACGCAGCAGTGCAAAGATAAATGGGAGAAGCTCACGGCGGGGTACAAGGAAGTTCGAGAGGGCATTCGAGACAAGGATGACTATCCGTTTTACGACGAACTCGATCCTCTTCTATCAGGAAAAGCTCAGAGGAGAGAAACTCTAATTCGAACTCAACTTCGAAGACAATGTCAAGGTATCGAGTTGCCGAGAGAAATCGAGATGGAGATCTCGGGAGGAGAAGATGAGTTTATCCGATCGGACGGCGAAGACACAGAAGAAGACACCAATGAATTTCCAGCGAGGAAGCGGCAGAGATCTTTAAATTTTAGAAATGACGAAATGATAGAAGCTTTTAAGGATCTCTTCGACAGTTTTTTAACAAGACAATCCAGATTATTTGTGGATCTCCTTGAATCAATGGAGCGGAGAGAGAAAATACGCGAGAAAATTCGGCTAGAAAGGGAAGAAAAATGGCGGGAAGAAGATCGACAACATCGACTAATGTTCCAAAACGCCATGACTCTCTTCATGAAAAAGATCGTTCACGAAGGAGTAAGATGCACTTCAGACTCTGCACCGTGCCACCATGTGAACGAACCAGCCTCTACTCCAATAGCAGAAACTGCCGTCACAACCGCTGGCGGTGGCGGGGGAAGCGGAGGAGGGAGTGCGGCGAGAAAAAGATCGAAGAACTGGAAGAGGGCGGAGGTGCTGCTGCTGATAAAGCTGCGGACGGAGATGGAAGGGAAGTTCGCCAAGTCGACGAGGAGGGCGGTGCTGTGGGAGGAGGTGGCGCAACTACTGTGCGCCGAGGGGGTGCAGAGGGACGGAAAGCAGTGCCGGGAGAAATGGGATAAGCTGATGGCGGAGTACAAGGAGGTTTCAGACGGGAAGCGAGACCGTGGAGACAGCCCTTACTTTGCAGATCTTCTTGCCACTGTCACACGTGCTGGTTCTGGTTCCGGTTCTGCTTCTTCCTCCTCTCCCGAATCTCCGATCACGAATATCAACACCGTTCTCGATTGAAAAATATTACAGAATTAGCTAAACTTCTCATATTTTCACATTCTGTTTGTGTAAATAGAAATAATTAATTAATATATAAATAAAGAGGATCAAAACCGTGTAGTAAGTAAACTCTAGTTGATCTTTGTTATTTCTTTGACGAGTCTTCTCTGTGGTTAGTTGAAGGAGATAGGACTTTTATTGTCGGTCTCTGCAAGTCTGCCTGTCGCTAACTGGATTCTCGTGATACCTCTCGAGTCCCGCCCAACAACTTGTGACGGTAGTTCTTCGAGAGGATCTCAGAGTCTTGACCTTGACCGGATGTGTTGACGGTTTCCGGTGGTTCCGACGAAGTTCTCGTTCTCCGGCTGTCGACGCTTCTCGTTTGGAGTAAAAAAATCCACGACACTCAACAGCGTTGAGCGGAACGATCGAGGTCGAAGGATTCCAGTTTCGGGATTTGGAGAGGAGGTCTATTTCATGCGGCAGTAGAGCAAAGGTTCTCATTGGAATCTTTTGTGGGGCCAACTGACTCTCTGGATTTCAGTCTTAAGAGAGTCAGATTACCGTAGGATGAGAATCGAAGGGTTCTGAAACAGGGATATCCATCAGTAACTATACCTGTTAGCCAAAAAATCGCAACCTTGTTAAATCTAGTATATGTAATATGTTTCAACTAGTGTGGCCCGTTGAAGCGAAATAGATTAATGGGCCTCCCTTTGCCTTTTGGTCCGGGTCTAGGGCCTATTGTTGGGCCTTCCTATCCTACCACGTGGCATACTTGCAGACACTGAGACACCGACAGGTTTAAACCAAACCAATCATTGGATGGGCCCCACATACAAAAAATCAGATGCCTTCAAACCATCTGATTCATCCATTATTTTAAGAGCTTAAAATTAAAATTAAAAAGAGTCCAAACAGAACTTTTGACCACATCCAATTAATTTGAATGGTGACAAAAACTAAAGCTTTCATATTAATGAAAGGCCTAAAAAAATTGGAGACTAAAAAGGTCAACACCTTACGCCCTAAATTATGCTGATGTATGGAGTGACCAATCTTTCGGTGGACATTTGATTCAATTAGGATTTGCAGAATGCAGATGTTATAAAGCTAAAGCTGTCTGTTTGTTTTGTTTTATGGCCACAAATGATGATGGATACTTGGATAGGACACGATACCAGTAATAGCGACAATTCCTTAAGAGCTATTTGCTTCAAGGCAACTCAGAAGAAAGTAGCTTTTCTACACCGACTATTCATGGTGATTGATACAAACACCTCACACTTTGCCCAGAATTGAGATAAACTGAAGACTAAAATCATGTTGTAAATAAAAGTTTAGACCACCCCTTTAAACAGGTTGCTTGCTCCAATAAGTTAGTGGCCACAGTACTAGTGTGATGTAAGATTAGTGGCTAAAAGTTATAGCGTGCGGCAAAATAAGGTTTGGTTGGTTTTGGATAAGCTTCAAGGTTTTCGCTTTTAAAGCCAAAGGTAAAATGTCCCAATTTTGTTTGGAAGCAACATCTGTTGAATCTTGAAAGTAAAAGGCATGGGAGTACACTGAGACCAAGTTATCCGGCCCGCACATAGGAACATTTTCCATGCCTATACCTTAAATTCATTGGCTGGATGCCGTGCTCTCATTTTATTTGTACATTTTTTTTTTTAACCCATGTGTTTGGTGAAAAATCTGAAAAGTCCAAATATGTTGTCATTCAGCCAAACATTTGGCTTTTCTGTGAAGTATTTTTAGTGGTTTCTTTATAATGATTTAGGGGTGTAGAGTTCACAAGGATTAGGATTGAACATAAGAAAAATGACTTTTAGCGACAGTTAGTCTCTAAAATTGCTGTTATAAAAATCCGGTGCGTGTATCTTAGCGGCAGTCAGGGATATCTTTAGTGGCAGTCCCTAAATCTATACTTTTTTTTTTTAATTTTCTTTAAATAACCTGTTTTCTTTATAACATTTAAATTGAAATTAAATACAAAAATAAAAAAGCATCAATTATAAATAAAATTTAAAAAACTCATTCTTCATTCAAAATATTTGAATCATAAGTGCATCTTAATTTCAATTTGATAAATTCTTGGCTTATACAAAAAATATTCCCTTCACAAATACATCTTCTTTGTTGTTTGAATCCCAAGAGAGGAGACAATTTGAAGGATCTTTGAGACCCTTTTTCAGGTCGAGAAGAGCTGTAAACCCCAGTTGACAATTCTGAAACCCCAGTTGATGGCTGCCATGAAGGCGTTTTGATAGGACTTCAAATTATGAAGGCACTTTGAATCCCTCAAGGGATATGAGCCCACCAAACCTACAATATATCTACTCCATATATATTATGTATACAACTCCAGCTTCATGGAAGAGAACCATTTCTTTGGAGGTTGGGATAATTTTAAGATACTCATGTACCATATGCCAAATTTTATGCACCACTGATTGCTAAAAGCTATAGAAGCTTCAAAGGGAGTTATTTGGTGAAATAATAAGAGGAGAAGAAGAAAACACTAATCTCATGGAGATCACAAATTGGATTAAACACAAGATTATGATGCAAATTAGTTTGCATGGCTTGAGTGAACTGAAATAAGCTGAACGCAAGAAATAGAGATCAAGAATAATAATAAAAAAAAAAATCTCATTTAATTCTTACCAAATTAAATCCCAGAACTAACAAATTTCTAGTTTAGTAACATCCACATTTTAAAATTTAATAGCATTCACATTCAAACTCCAATCCCATGCTGCATATCATCCTACATCATATCATACTAATTTCTTTATTTGATCTGATCTAGGGTATTTAGTAGCTTGTTTTTTCGGATAAAAAGGAGAGAGAGAGAGAGAACATAAAGAAGCAAGCTTCAACAATAAGAAACAATGAACAACAAGGTAGTCAAATTTGTCATTGTAAATAATTTGGTGTTGTCATGCTGGAAACAAATTTGAAAGATCTTAATCTAATTTGATGGTAATTAAAAGCATCACAACAAAATCCCCATGGTAATATAATTTGATGCATTCCAAACAAAATCCCCAGGCTTGGAGCCCACCACCCTCACAACATCATAACAAGGAATCCACTATGCCATTGGCTTTATATTGGGAGTTGGGACAGACATGAATTAGCTGTTCAAGGTGGACACCAAAGCCTTTGCTTCTCTAATATAATTATTGCATCTACTAACCACAGTCCCTCACAACTCATGATGTGGTCTCCTAGCACAACTAAGCATCTACTAACCACAGTCATTTTAAAGCATTATTTGTTTACTTATATCTCCAAATATAATGATTGCATTTTATGGTTTATAAAATAGAAAAAAAGGTATAAAATAAAACATGGCAGTAGAAAAGTTCTTAAGTTTTCCTTCAAGAATGGTGTAGGTATAGAGTTGCACAAACAAAAGGGCATATCAAATGGTCAAAATCTATTGCACTCTTTCTTGCCTATCCAACTAAAGTTTTCTTCATTTGCAAAACAAAGGCTGTAAATTAACTTTTCAGTATCATATATTGTATTGGCGTACCCATATATGATTGAATACATTGATAATTACTAAAAGGGTGTTTTTTTTTGTTATAAAAGATTTCCATTAAAGAAGCAAACAACAGAACAACCTGAAGCTACACAACCACCACATAAAACAAACCTGAGACAAATTGACACATACAAAAACCTCTAACAACTACACACTTAGAAAACTCAGACCTACTAGAAAATAAAACATTCAGAGCAACCAAGCAATGGGATAAAATGGGATAGCTTCACTACATGGGAAAGAAGACCATGGGCTTATTGTGGCATCACCATGAGCAGCATGATTCAATTCTTGAGGAACCCATTGAAGCATAAATGACTTGCCCACACTAAGGGCTTTAAAGCCTTTGAACAAAATAGAATGCTATGGTGGCAATCACCATTTACTGCCTTTACACTATTCACTAATTGCAAGGAGTCTCATTCAAAAATAATGGTGCTATTTAGCAAGTCTTTTTTGAAAGATCTTTTGGTAGACCTGAAAGCCGAAGATAATGTGAGCTTTTGCATTATGATTTTAACAGCTTGAAGACCATTTGGTTAAGGAGCGTCTTCCCACATGTCTTTTCACATGAAGATGCAATGAAAAATGTCGAAAAGCTCCATTTAGAGTTTCCTGAAAATAGCCCAAAATAGACTTTGTGCATCTTTTCGGAGCATCATCTTTTGGCGGGTAGATCTTTTCCTAACCAAATAAAAAAAGATCAAAACGTGGGCTGTTGGGCTTCTAAACAGTCGACAGCTCACACGGAAAGATGTGCTAAATGAGATTGTACATTAACTAGATTCAAAGACACAAAAAGAGCAACAGCCAAGAAATCCATATCATCAGCAGCAAGGGGAAGAAGCTTCAGACGGGCCCCCACCAATTCTCCAATACAAACCATCATGGTCTCTCTATTCAGTGAACAACTTTCCAAATTTGAATGCAAGAGCTAAGATATCTTTGCTAATGATTTGCAAATAGAAGCAAATTGTGCAAGAAAAACATTAGTATCTCTATTATCAAAATAGAACCTATTTTTGTCTTTCGAAATTTTCCATAAAGTGAATAGCAATTTTGTAGAAGCATCAAGGTTTGACTTCCCTAAACCTATGATGGTTCTAAGGAATCCGCAATCAAGAGCTTAAATTAGTCTCTATGGGAGGAATTACACCAACCTTGGATCCTAACCAAAGGCAATGGGCCTTTCACAAAAGAATAGATCATGGAGCACTGTTTCACTCTTCTGATTGCACCTTCCAAGAATCAAGATGGGGAATGTATTATTTTCCTCCTAAAAAGGTTCTCTTGAACAACTAAACCTTTTATGCAACACTTCCAAAGAAACATCTTTATTTTTTGCTTAACATGAATTGCCCACAATAGCTTCCAAGCTTCTGTATTCGTAGAGGACCTTTCAAGAGAATTAAAATGCAAACCCAAATATTGAGACCTTTATTATTGGGAGCCCAAACCAAAG